AGTTTGTACTCACCGTCCTTGCAGATGGCGCCCATCTGACACGTCCCTAAGTCTAAGAGATAGCCGCTGAGGCAGCTCGTGCAGTTCTTGAACCCCGGACCATTGCATGTCAAACAGGTAGCATCACATCTATGGGGAAAATGTACAGTTCATGCTTTCACACATCAGGCGCAAGAAAAGATGTTTGCGATCAGCCTCTTAAGGACGTTTGAAACTTAATTCCCCCTTTGAAGACGACACAGAAAACTCTTCTTACCATAATTGCTACCTTTAACAGCATTAAAGAAAGCCCAGCGGGTAGACTGATTTTAAATGGGAGAACGCATTGTACTTGAAACTGAAATACTTACTTTCAAGGTTTTCAAGTGCTCCTGAGACAAAAACAAAAAAGTATTCAAGAGAAGTTGGGTGAAAGCAGCAGGGCAGGTTTCTGTTTTCAGCTTTCTGATTTGGAAACGTAGGTCATCATTAATAGTTGTTTTGTTTTATGGAGGCAGTCAAGTAAGGAAGCCAGTGATCACGAGCTACGGCTGGAGGGGCGGATCCACTTACTTTTTGCAGGATTTGTATCCGCTCTCTGAAGAGTGGTCAAAGTAGTAGCTGAGACTGCAGCTCTGCACGCACCTCCCATCCTCCATGAAGTAGCCTTCCGTGCAGTTAATACACCCGTCAGCGCCCGGCCCTGAAAGCAAGACAAATGCGGGAAACAGAAACAAAATCTCAGAAGAGCTTGCACGATGGGCTGCTTCTTGAGTAGGTGGTGAAAAGGGCATGAATAGGTTGTCATGTTAAGAGTCATAATTTCATATTTGTGCTTTCTCTTACGTTCTGTGGGGAAAAAAAAAACCCGCCCCCATTTTAAATTGAACCCATTTGCCAAAACCATCACATCTCTTTGGAAAGAGGAGGGGATCTCGTTGGGATGTTTCAGTGTCGCCATAGGGACAAGAATGCCCATGACTTTCTCTGAGAATCCATACAGGAGTGCGGGAAGAGAATGAGGTTTCTCCAGCATTTACTTTAACCATCTCCGGGGCGTCTGGAGGAGTGATGGCTAACCACAAGTCAACAACCAGCAAACCAGAGCCAGAGAATAGACAGTAGGACTGGGGGACAAGGTACCAGCGCAGGTGGCACAGAAGCGGTGACAGGGCTGACAGTCCTGGCCATTGAAGTACTGCCCGTCCTCACAGGTGATGGAGCAGCGGGATCCCTGCAGGCTGAAGACAGAAACACAGATGCCGTGATCAAGGCAAAGAGGTCATAGCTCCCCAGCTCCATACGCAACAAATAGAGCGTCTCCCAGAGACCCGTGGTTTGGCAAAGCTTCAAAGCGGGGGGAAATCGTCCCGTACCCCTTCTTTTTTCCTTCCCCGATGCCTATCCTGCTTCTCTGCCCCTATGATCATGTCTGTAGCTGTGTGCGTGCTGCAAGCTTCGTGGACCTTCTTCGCTCTGCACCTTACCCACCCAGGTGTCCCTGAAAGTATCTTACTGACAAAACTCATGACCTAACAATACGTCTGACAACTCTGATAACCAGCCCTACGACATAATAAATTTAAGAGTTGTTTTGTAATTATAAAATGTAGTAGGAACACAGGGTAACGAGTTACAACTGAATAAAGGGCACGGTGATCTGTGGCCCGCCCACACTCCCGGGAGTACGTCCTTTTGTTCTTATTTCTGGTTTTAGTTCTACTGGTTCCCATCAGAATCACACAGTTGCCTCTATCTCCTGATTTATTTTAAATGCTAATGAATAATTTCATAAAATGACCTGCCTATACAGCTGATTCCCCAAGCACCCCAACTTTTCTTAATTATATGATTGTTTCCAGGTGTTCTCTCTACCATACTTTCTCTATTTGGCACTCTTGGTATCTATTATAGTTGCCAGAATGTTGAATGAGGAATGCATATTTTTTCTTTTAAAGATTTTATTTATTTATTAGAGAGAGATAGCCAGAGCAGGAACACAAGCAGGGGGAGTGGGAGAGGGAAAAGCAGGCTTCCCACTGAGCAGGGAGCCCGATGTGGGGCTCGATCCCAGGACCCTGGGATCATGACCTGAGCCGAAGGCAGACGTTTAATGACTGAGCCACCCAGGCGCCCTCTCCTTTCTAATATCTATCAATTATGATAGCTTTCATAGTGTATAAAACAATTCTTAAAATTAAAAACCCACAGAACTTAGGACCTTTAATCTACAAATACTCACTATTGGAACAATAGATTAGCACCTGTAATCCTATGTCACCAAGTAGAAGATACTACAAGATGGGTCTCTAAGCAACAGGGTCAAATGGTTTTTATTCTCTTAGACTCTTTATATTGCTCCAAGTCACATCTTAGTTGACTGTGCTTTGTATTTGATCACACTAACTTGGAAAAGTAAAATTTATTTTTCCCTATTGGAAAGAACAAAAACAGATAAAAACGGATCCCAAACAGTCCTGTTAACGTTGTAATCCACTTCCTTCCAGTATTTTACGTGTATGTATTTCTCTTGTTCTTAGCCACTCTTTAAAAATGTATAGGTCTCTTGAGGCAAACTGGTCAACCCTCAAAGCCTCTAAGGAAAAGGTAAGCAGTCTCAAGGAGACAGAGGGCAGCTTAACTGAAGGTGTATTCCATTCACAGACTTGAGTGGCCAGGGAGCGATGTCGTTTAAAAAGCCAATAAAAGAAAATCCCTTCCCTTTCCTTAGAACTGGAAAAAAAGACATTGCATCAAATGGATCCTTTTGTGGGAGGAAAGTTTTTTGGTGGTCCTATTATCAGAGTTAAAATAAAAAGAAACTGCCTCATTTTTCTAGTACAGGGCATTCCTTCTGAGGTTGGCATGTGTTGAGCATGAGACCGAGGCTGCGCTGTGTGAGGAGGCAATGAATGTAAGTGGGTCGTTTAACAGGGAGCAGGCACGGTGTGCACCCCGAAGCCTTCTGCTGCTTCCAAAATAGAGTGGTGGCATGGCTAACACACCTGGGACGGTGGGCACCTGGGTTCTGTCTGTGATCAGTTGGCTGGGTTGGAACTGTGCGGTCCCACATGGTTCAGCACCCGTGGCTCCCGAGCACTTAAAATGTGGTTAGTGTGGCCCAGGAATGGAATTTTAAACTTTAGTTTGAACTTCAGTCTAAATTTTACAAATGGGCCCTTGGTTCAGTTACTGGCAAAATGCTGAGTAAGTTTAGAACCAACCTGGCTATATAAAATCTACTTCGACTAAATTTTGTAAAATGTACAGATCAAGTATTTCTCATAAAAGATTACTGTCCAAGTTGAGATGTGCAATGTGCTTTCTGGGCTAAAATGTACACCAGATTTCGAAGACTTGGTGTAACAACAAAAAAGAATGTAAAACATCTCGCTAGGTCTTTTGTATTGATTATATTTTGAAATGAAAATATTTTGGATATATTTGGTTAGTATTTTTTTAAATTCTACCCATATCTTTTTACTTCCTTTAATGTGGCTACTGGCATGTTTAAAATAAAATGAACATATAGGACTCTCATATTTCTTTTGGAGAGTGCTGGTTAACGTACTCTGTGAAATGTTCCCTAAGAAACACAGTTGACTTAACTCTTCAACAACATGGGTTTGAACTGCATGAGCCCACTTCTAAGTGGATTTTTTTCGATAAATAAAATACAGTACTCTAAATGTATTTTCTTTATAATTTTCCTAACATTTTCTCTTCTCTAGGTTTACTTTATTGTAAGAATACAGTATAGAATACATATAACACAAAATGTGTTAATTGACTTATTTGTAAGATTTCCGGTCAACAGTAGTAATTGGTAGTTACATAGTTAAGAGTAACTTACGGAGTTAAAAGTTATATGCGATTTTCAACTATATGAGGTTGCGGCCTCTAATCCCTGAGTTGTGCAAGGGTCAATTGTATAGAAAATATCATAAATAATCTTTTATTTCTCATGGACAAATTATGTGTCTGATATTGGAGTAAGTACTTTCTAAATGTTATCACAGTTGATCCTTTTCATAATTCAGCAATGTAGGGGTTATTATCTCATTGCATAGATGACAAAACTGAAGTTCAGAGTGGCTCAGTGACTTGACCAGGATCCCACAGCTGATTAATAGAAGAGGGTTTGAACCCACATCTATCTTGTCTCCCTTCTTTTTATTATCCCAATCTGCTCCTTGTCCAAAAAGAATGAGGGGGCTGACTAGACTGATATTTATCAAGACTGGAAGTCTTGAGATGCAGGGTGCTTAAGCAAATTCATAGTGAATGCATTTATGAAAAAAACCCACAGATAAAAAAAATATATTAAAACATCATTTTCATTTATTATTATTATTTTTTAAAGATTTTACCCATTTATTTGACAGAGAGAGACACAGCAAGAGAGGGAACACAAGCAGGGGGAGTGGGAGAGGGAGAAGCAGGCTTCCCGCGGAGCAGGGAGCCCGATGCGGGGCTTGATCCCAGGATCCCAGGACTCTGGGATCGTGACCTGAGCCGAAGGCAGACGCTTAACGACTGAGCCACCCAGGTGCCCCAGAACATCATTTTCATTTTGATTAAGATTTTATTTACTTGAGAGAGAGAGCAAGAAAGTGAGCATGAGTGGGGGGAGGGGCAGAGGGAGAGGGAGAAGCAGACTCCCCTGGCTCAATCCCAGGATCCCGAGGTCATGACCTGAGCTGAAGGCAGATGCTTAGTTGACTGAGCCACCCATGTGCTCCGATGTTCTGATATTAATTAATATGAAGAATCACCTGCCTGGAGCCTGTTGAGTTCACTTCTCCAATTAAAGATGGAAACAGAGGTGTTCTCAATACTTAAAAAGATTTGAGATGGAAACAGAGGTGTTCTCAATACTTAAAAAGATTTGAGTGCTGCAGATTTGTGGCTCTCTGTAAACTCAGGGTCCAACTCCTTACCCAACGGAGGATGGTCTGACATTCTCTGTGGATATCAGGAGGCTACCTAGTTCATTTGAGCTGTGTCTTGTTCTTTTGCAGAATCTATCAGCTATCTGGCTTTAGCAATGAGCAAGTCATCCAGTCAAGAAAAACATCTCCAGGTGTTAAATCTTTGAGCATACCAGAGCATAATGGAACCAAGCCTGAGGTACTTAAGATAAGAGAATGACTGGTTATATGGAGAGAAATAATAACGATAAGGGAAGAGTTTCCGACCATCAAAGGAATGAATCAGGAGGAATAAATATAATTCACTGGTATTACCTACACAGTAATCCTTGACAGGGGCACTGCGCTGGTCAAAAAGCGCTGAGAAAGCTTCTCAAATAGCCATTTTTATTTACGTGTATCAGGGCCATCTTTTCTGAAGAGAATTTCATTTGGTTTATAAGCCTCCCTTAGCCAAGATGGCATTCAATTTTTCACATACAATGGTAAAGATAATGCAAACAGCAATCAAGTGTTTGGGAGTCAAACCAAGGGTGATGGTAAGAGGATTATTTATTTACATATTTTATTTATATTGAGACGCTCCTTGGGCTGTGTGACTTGAAAAGATCCTTCACTCTCTTACCTTAACCCATCCCTACATTCTGTACAGTTGTGGAATTCAGTACATGTCTTGCAGTTTTCACTGCATTTCCGGCAAAGACTTTTCTCTGTTAAAAAAAAAAAAATACAAATGTAACAAGGTTATAAATCAGTTGGTCAGTTGGATTCCATAAAATGTGGAGACATTCTAACGTTTGCTAAGGTACGCGATAGCACACATACATGGCCTTGAGTAGACTATTTCGTGAACAGCCCCGTACCAAACATTTGCTATCACTTTTCAGCAAAGTGTACAGTGGTAGGAACCTGCAGTGATGGGAAATGCCTGATATCTACCATTTTGCAGACAAGGGAACCACAGCCCATTTAACTCTTAGTCGAATAGCTGATTGGCTCTTTCCCCTCTTCTTTTTCTCTCTCCCAAGGGGGGTTATCTAACTTCCGACAATGACAATCCCACTAACAAAGATGCTGGGGCAACGCCCGGATGTAAGGGCGGAAGCAGTGCTTGGGGCTGTGGAATGGAAAGGTGGGCCCCCATGCTCACTCTGATGAATGCGGCCAGAAAAGGGAATCTGCATTTACGATGGCAGGGTAAGGGTTGATGATGTGTTTCTTGTATTGTTTAGAATAGTGTCGCATACTTTATAGTGGCTGTGACATTGATATGTTATTATAGTTTAGATATGTCTGTATTCTGGAGAGTAGAAATATATGGATTAAAACAAATATACCATGAATATGGTTTTCCTGTTTAATACCAAAGACTGATGATCCCCATTGGAAAAAAATGGCAAATGCATGCTTACTCTATAGTGAAAAACGGTGATTTGTTACATTAACTTAAGGCCTTTTACCTGAGGCAAAATTCTTCTGGAGACTCGATACCTTCTCTGAGATGCAAGTGGATTATAACCATATATATGTGTAGGATTGAATAAGCTTTGTTCATAGGCTTCTTTTCCTCCATCTACTCTTTAAATTTTGGTGTTCTTCAAGGTTCCATAGAGGAACATTGCTTTAATGGATTCCTACAGGGACCTCTTGAAGGTCCACTTCCTTTCTCAAGTCTGAGCACCACCCCCCACCATGAAATATGAAGTCCTTTATAATCTTATGGCAGTCTTCACATGGTCCCCTCCTCACTCTGCCGTTTAGACTCCTGGACATGCCATAGGATCTGAAGTCCAAGGAGCTAGATTTGAATTCTGCTTTTAGCATTTCCAGTGGGCAAGTTCAGGGTCTCTGTTCTCCGTTCAATAGATATTTCAGTGATGCCAACCTCTCAGTTTGTCTTGAGGGGATTAGTTTCCCTTGAGGGGAACTATATGAGCTTGAAAGCACTGTAAATGTGTCAGCAGTAATTATTACTAGTCATGATTATATCTGATCACTATGTTTTCAGGAGGAAGATATAACAAAAGTCAGTTACATGAAGGAGAGAGAGGCAGAGACCACTCATATCAGCAAAGCCATTGTTTGAACGGCCTGCCTTCACTACATACCTCCCAGGCTCTGGGGAAACAACTGAGTCTCAATTATCTTGATCCTGTTATATACCATCTCGAACCAAATTTCTTTTCCGAGATCCAGCCTTCTTGATAGAATTTTGAATTTTTTCTTCAAGAAATACTGCTTATTTCTGGGGATCCCTCAGACTCCCCTCCCCCACTCTTATTTTTCCTTTCTCTATCAGGGTGTAGCTCATGTTCCAAATTTGGGGGAAAAAGGAACTACAAGGAAATCCTACCACGGTTCTATAGGGTAAGCTGAGACTCCATCTGCCTCGTGGAGAAATGCCTGCCTTTGAGTCAAGGGACTTGGACTTCTTAAGAAGCAACAGTATCCACTTCAAAATTCTTGCCTGATTTCCAAAAAACAACTCTTGTTCATTTAAACTTGGGTTTTCTTCTTTCTTAGGTTGTGCAGAAACTGGAGATAATCAGTGTCATCATGTATCATGGTGTGACACACTTGTTAATTACCGAGAATTCAGAAATAAAGGAAAAGGGCGCTACCAGAGCACTAACAGGTAGGAATGCCCAAGGATTACTTAATTCTCCAGGGGATGTACCTTTGTCTGTTTCCTAATGATGACTGATTAGGGCCCAAACTCCGCGAAGTGACGTGTTCATTTACAGATTTTTGTTTGGTTCAGTTGCAAAGGATTTCTGTGTGGAAAAAGCCCCCCAAATTCAATTTGTATTGCCATGTAGGAAATTATTCATTTCTTAATTGAAGTATACATAACAATGTTATATTAGTTGGAGATATAGAATATATTGATTTAATGATTCTATATATTACTCAGTGTTGACCACAGTAACTGCAGTCCCCATCTGTCACCATGCAATGGTATTACAGTGTTATGGACGATAGTCCCTAGCTGTACTTTTCATCTCTGCTACTTCCTTATTTCATAACTGGAAGTCTGTACCTCCCCTTTATCTTTTTTGCCCATCCCTCCACCCACCTCTGCTCTGGCCACCACCAGTTGTTCTCTGTATTTTAAGAGTCTGTTTATTTTTTGTGTGTTTGTTAGCTTCCACATATAAGTGAAATCCTGTGGTATTTGTCTTTCTCAGTCTGATTTATTTCACTTAGCGTAATACCCTATAGCTCCATCCATGTAGGCACAAATGGCAAGATCTCACTCCTTTATATGGCTGGGTAATATTCCACTGTGTGTGTGTGTGTATGCCACATCTTTTTCTTCTTCTTCTTTTTTTTTTTTTTTTTTACAAGTTTTTAATTCCAATATAGTTAATATACAATGTTACATTAGTTTCAGGTGTTTAATATAGTGATTCAGCACTTCTTTATATCATCCAGTGCTCATCATGACATGACTCCTTAATCCCCATCACTGGTTTCACTCACCCTCCCACCTCCGTCCCCTCTGGTAACTATCACTTTGCTCTCTATAGTTAAGAGTCTGCTTCTTGGTTTGTCTCTTTGTCCTTTGATCATTTGTTTTGTTTTTTAAATTCCACATGTGAGTGAAATCTTATGGTATTTCTTTGACATTTCACTTAGCATTATACTCTCTAGCTCCATCCATGTTGTTGCAAATGGCAATATTTCATTCTTTTTAATGACTAATACTCCATTGTGTGTGTGTGTGTGTATGATGAATGGATAATCCTTCTTTATCCATTCATCTATCTATAAACACTTGGGTTTCTTGCATACCTTGGCTATTGTAAATAATGCTGCAATAAACATAGGGGTGCATATACCTTTTTTACTTAGGATTTTTGTATTTGGGCAAATACCCAGTAGTGGAATTACTGGATTGTAGGGTATTTCTGATTTTAATTTTTTGAGGAACCTCCATCCTCTTTTCCACCATGGCTCTAGCAGTTTACATTCCCACTGCAGTGCTTGAGGGTTCTCTTTTCTTTACATCCTCGCCAACACTTGTTATAATTTCTTGTTTCTTGATACTGACTGCTGTCCGTTCTTGATAGCTATTCTAAAATGAGTGAGGGGATATCTCATTGTGGTTTTGATTTGCACTTCCCTGATGATGAGTGATGCTGAACATCTTTTCACATGTCTGTTGGCCATCTGTATGTCTTCTTTGGAAAAATGTCTCTTCAGATCCTCTGCCCATTTTTTTTATTACATTGTATTTTTGGTGTTGAGTTGTATAAGCTCTTTATATATTTTAGATATTAACCCCTTAGCAGATACATCATTTGCAAGTATCTTCTCCTACTCACTAGGTTGCCTTTTTATTTTGTTGGTTTTCTTTACTGTGAAAAAGCTTTTCATTTTGGTCAAGTCCCAATATAGGGTATTTTTGCTGTTGTTTCTTGCGCCTGAAGAGACCTATACATAAATATGTTGCTAAGGGCAATGTTCAAGAGATTACTGCCTATGTTTTCTTTTAGGATTTTTATGGTTTCAGGTCTCACATTTAGGTCTTTAATCCATTTTGAGTTTATTTTTGTATATGGTTTAAGAAAGTGGTCCAGTTTCATTCTTTTGCATGCAGCTGTCCAGGTTTTCCCAACACCATTTATTGAAGAGATTGTCTTTTCTCCATGGTATTTTACTCTTTTTGGTGCAGTTACAAATGGGATTGTTTTCTTAATTTCTCTTTCTGCTACTTCATTATCAGTGTATAGAAATGCAACAGATTTCTGTATATTAATTTTGTATCCTGAAACTTCACTGAATTAATTAATCAGTTCCAATGTTTTTTTGGTGAAGTCTAGCATTTTCTTTTCTTTTTTTTTTTTTTTAAAGATTTTATTTATTTACTTGAGAGAAAGAGAATGAGAGACAGAGAGCATGAGAGGGAGGAAGGCCAGAGGGAGAAGCAGACTCCCTGCCGAGCAGGGAGCCTGATGTGGGACTCGATCCCGGGACTCCAGGATCATGACCTGAGCCAAAGGCAGTCGCTTAACCAACTGAGCCACCCAGGCGCCCTGAAGTCTAGCATTTTCTATGTATAGTATCATGTCATCTGCAAATAGTGACAGTATTACTTTTTCCTTACCAATTTGGATGTCTTTTCTTTCTTTTTCTTTTCTGATTGCTGCAGCGAGAATTTCCGATATTATGTTGAATAAAAGTGGTGAGAGTGGACATCCTTGTCTTGTTTTTTTCTTAGAGGAAGAGTTCTCAGTTTTTCTTATTGAGTATGATGTCAGTTGTGGTTCATCATATATGGCTTTTATTTATTTATTTTTTTTTTTAATTTTTTTATTCTTATGTTAATCCCCTTACATTACAACATTAGTTTTAGATGAAGTGTTCCATGATTCATTGTTTGTGCATAACACCCAGTGCTCCATGCAGAATGTGCCCTCCTCAATACCCACCACCAGGCTAACCCATCCTCCCACCCCCCTCCCCTCTAGAACCCTGTTTGTTTTTCAGAGTCCATCGTCTCTCATGGTTCGTCTACCCCTCCGATTTCCCCCGCTTCATTCTTCCCCTCCCGCTACCTTCTTCTTCTTCTTCTTTTTTTTTTTTCTTAACATATATTGCATTATTTGTTTCAGAGGTACAGATCTGAGATTCAACAGTCTTGCACAATTCACAGCGCTTACCAGAGCACATACACTCCCCAGTGTCTATCACCCAGTCCCCCCATCCCTCCCACCCCACCCCCCACTCCAACAACACTCAGTTTGTTTCCTGCGATTAAGAATTCCTCATATCAGTGAGATCATATGATACATGTCTTTCTCTGTTTGACTTATTTCACTCAACATAATACCCTCCAGTTCCATCCACGTCGTTGCAAATGGCAAGATCTCATTCCTTTTGATGGCTGCATAATATTCCATTGAATATCATATATGGCTTTTATTATGGTGAGGTATGTTCCCTTTACCCCACATTGTTGAGAAGTTTTAACATGAATGCATGTTGTATTGTGTTGAATTCTTTTTCTGTATCCATGGAGATGACAGTTTTTTTTATTGTTTATGTGATATCATATAGATTATAGAACCACACTTGCATCTCTGGAATAAATCCCACTTCATCATGCTAAATGATTTTTTTAATGTACATTGAATTCTGTTATTCTTTTAAGGATTTTTGCATCTGTGTTCATCAGAGATATTGGCCCATAGTTTTCTTTTTACATAATGTCTTTGTCTGGTTCTGGGATCAAGGTAATGATGGCCTCATAGATGAATTTAGAAGTTTTACTTCCTCTTCTGTTTTTTTAGCATCATTTGAGAATAGGTATTAACTCTTATTTAAATGTTTTGTAGAATTCACCTGTGAATCCATCTGATCCTTGATTTTTGATGTTGGAAGTTTTTGACTGCTGATTGAATTTCATTACTAGTAATTGGTCTGCTCAGATTTTCTATCTCTTCCTGATTTAGTTTTGGAAAATTGTATGTTTCTGGGAATTTACCCATTTCTTCTAGATTGTCCAACTGTTTGTTGGCAGATCATTTTTCAACATTTTCTTATAATTCTTTGTATTTCTGTGATATTTCTCCTCCTTCATTTCTGACTTTGAGTCTTCTCTCTTTTCTTGTTAAGTCTGGCGAAAGATTTATCAGTTTTGTTTATCTTTCCAAAGAACCAGGTCTCGGTTTCATTGATCTTTTTTTTTTTTAATTTCATTTATATCCGCTCTAATCTTTATTATTTCCTTCTACTGGCTTTGGACTTTGTTCTTTTTTTTCTAGTTCCTTTAGGTTCAAGGTTAGGTTCTTTATTCTATAATATGTTATTTTTCTTGTTTCTTGAGGTGGGCCTAATAGCACTATAAATTTCCCTCTTAGAACTGCTTTTGCTGATTCCCAAAGGTATTTGTTTCCACGAATTTTTGATTTCATCTTTTTTTTTCACTGACCCATTGGTTAATTAGTAGCATGTTGTTTAACCTCCACGTATTTGGCTTTTTTTTCTTCCATTTTTCTCTTGTAATAGTTTCATACCATTTAAATTGGGAAATATGCTTGATATGATTTCAATCTTCTTAAATACAGTGAGACTTGTTTTATAGCCTAACATGTATACCAGAGAATGTTTCATGTGCACTTGAAAACAATGTATATTTCTACCCTGAGTTTTGTTCTTTTCTTCCACTTCCATTTGCATGGTTTATCTTTTTTCATCCTTTCACTTTTAGTCTGTATGTGTCATTATGTGTGAAGTGAGTCTCTTGTAGGCAGCATATAGATGGGTATTATTTTCTTATTCATTACCATATGTCTTTTGATTAGAGTATTTATTTAAAGTAATTATTATAGATAGCTACTTATTGCCATTTTGTTAATTGTATTCTGGTTGTTTTCGTAGTTCTTCTTGATGCCTTCCTTTTTCTCTTGCTCTCTTCCCTTGTGGGTTGATGGTTTTCCTTAGTGATATGGCTGGATTCCTTTCTTTTTTTGTGTATATCACAGGTTTCTGATTTGTGGCTACCATTGGGTTCTATATAGAGTTGAGGGTCACTTAAGTTCAACACATTGTAAAACTACTAAAATTAACTCCCACCTCCATGTTTTATGTATGTGATGTTTTATTTTATGTCTCCCTTGGCTAATTTTTCTAGATTTTGATTGTACTACTTTGTGTTTTAAACTCCACAGTGGCTTTACTCTATGCTTGCCTTTTACCTGTAAAATTTTTCTCCTTTTATAATTTTTTTTCTCTAGTGAATGGCCTATTCTTTCCCTTCAAAGAATTCCCTTTAACAATTCTTGTAAGTCTGATTTATTGGGATGAACTCCTTTAACTTTTGTCAGGAAAACCTTTCTCTCCTGTTTTGAATGATATGCTTTCTGGGTAGAGTATTCTTGGTTGTAGGTTTTTTGGTTTTAGCACTTTGAATATAGCATGCTACTCCCCTGTGGCCTGCAAAGTTTCTGCTGAAAATCAGCTGATTGCCTTATTTGGTTTCCCTTTTATCATTTTTGCCATTTTAATTATTATGTGTCTTGGTGTGGACCTCCATGGGGTCAACTTGTTAGGGGTTCTTCTTCCTGGACCTGGATGTTGCTTCTTTCCCCAGGTTAGGGAAGTTTTCAGCCCCTTCTTCTCCTTCTGGGATCCGTATAATGTGCATGTTACTATGCTTGATGATGCCACAGAGTTCCCTTAACCTATTCTCATTTTTTATTGTTGTTCAGCTGAGTTGTTTTGTTTTCCATTACTGCCTTCCGTATCACTGATCTGTTCTTCTGATCTACTATTGATTCCATTTAGTGTATTTTTATTTCAGTTATTAAATTCATCAGCTCTGACTGGTTCTACATTTTCTCTTTGTTGAAGGTCTCACTGAGATCCTCTGCTCTTTTCTCAAGTCTACTGAGTATCTCAGTGATAACGTCTTTGAATCGTTTATCAATCACACGTATTTTCATTTCATTTGGGACATATTCCTCTGTCTCCTCATTGAGTGTCCTGGGTAGGGTTGAGGGCAGTCTGAAGCAGTGACAGGCTTGGTGAATTGGGCCAGCAGTGAGCCCAGCTGTCTGCAATGAGTCCCTCTGTGTAGATACAGCTACAGGTGCACTGAAGGGCAGGGCTTGCTTCTTGCCCAGCCAGCTATGAGGCTCGACTGCAGGGAGTGCAAGTGTGCTGTTATAGGGTCTTCTCTCCTCGCTCCCCAGGGCATGAGTCACTTTGGAGTGGCACCCTCCAAGTGGGTATGGTGGGACAGGAGCCACTTTGAAGGGAGGACTGCTGAGTTGGATGGGGAAGAGCACACAGTGCTATAGCAAAGTAGATGGAGAGTGTTAGTGCTACCTGTCACAAACATCCAGCTATCTAGGGCTTGGGGCGGGGAGGGGGAAGAGGAATGGCACCTACCAGCACTTTGTTTCTAGAGAAATATCCTGTACATCCCTGCCTGGGGACAGATCTAATCTGCCCAGGACAGATTAGTCAATATATCTCCTTCACATATAACTGCAGGCACTTTTCAAACTGCTGCATCTTTAAGGATGATGGAGACTCAGTTTCCTATTGCCCTCAGGCTCTCCTGGAACCTGAAACTAAGCCCCACTGGAGTTAAGATCTCCTTGTTTCTAAAGCCAGATATTAGGTGGACTCAGATCCTCTTGCTTCCCCACGCTTGTGATGTCCCTCCCGTTTGTAGTTAGTGGCACAGGGGTTTGGTTTCCAACTATGTCTCCATCCTACCTACCCTTTTCAAGGTGGCCTTCTCTCTACAATTAACTGTGGCAGGTCTGTTCTGCCAGTCTTCAGGTGGTTTATCTCAATATGTCTGAGGGAGAAGGTGAGTTCAGGATCCTCCTACTCTAAACTCGGCAAATGAATTTCATTTTGCCTTTCCTAGTGGACTGGAATACCGGATAGTCTTTGAATCCATTTATCACTTTATAGGTTTCCTCATTAATGGCCCTTCATTAGTAGTCTTTGACACATGTCTATTCCATATTCACATCAAAGTCATGTTTTCTAAACTTTCTGAAAAGTTAACACTGATACGTTCCTTTGGTTAGTGTGTAGAAAAGAGCAGGCTTGGCTGCTATCTTTTGAAAGCCTGCTTCTGAAGCTGGTCCATGGCTAGTATCTGGGAATTGGATTTCAGGAGGGTTCCCACCACCCTAACTGGTAAGAGTGGCTCATGGTGCCTCAACTGTACAAACAAGATGGTTTATGCTGAACATCTGCTTTCCTTGTAGGAGCCTGGAATTTTGGTATGTGCCAGGTAGGGGGTTCTTCGTGACCACAACCCTGGGCACTGAGACTCTTAAGGCAGTTCCCTGGTAGCCTACATTTCACACATGTTGTAACCAGTTGTTGCTGGGGGATTTCAATGCATCCTGGGAGAAAACTTAGAAGCTAGTGCTGGTTTCCTGTGGACTTTGTGTCCTATGTACCTTTTCCTGATTTTACTTAATAACTATGAGCTCATGAGTGCAACTATATAGTAAGTCCTCCTAGCAAATCACTGAATCTGGGGATGGGCCCGAGGACTCCCTGACAGTTAGTTACAAGCATTTTTACATAACTGATTTTTTTTTTTTTACAAAAATTGTTAAAATTATAATGTGTTCTCTTAAAAACTGGTTAGATCCTTTGATATAACCAAGGCCTCAATCCCTCCTAATGTCATTCAAATGAAAACCTTCTAAACCCAAATATTTGAAATCAACTCACTGGTGTCCGGGTATAATCCAGCAGGGCAGTGGATAACACAGCTGTTGATTTCTTCATTTAGGAAGTATCCATATTTACAGGACAGGCACTGGTCACCATGGCTCCCAAAGCAGGACTCACAGTTGGGAGCACACTTTCTGCATCGCTTCTTGTCAGCATGGTAGTGGCCAGAGGGGCAGCTGGAGACACAGACCCTGCATTGTGGAAGGGTAAGAAAGAAGGGCAGCATCACTGGAGACAGAGACCCAGGCACTCTTGGAGATGCTCAAGCAAGAGCAGCCTTCCATCTTAAACCACGATGGTAACACCATATCCAAAGAGCCGAATTCTGTTGGTTGGAGCTTTTTCCTGTGTAGGGTTCTGAAGTGGCAAGGCGGCCACCCAATACCAAGTCTGCCAGGTAACGCATGTCTTGGTCCAAACCCCCTCTTCCGGTTCGGGACTAGCTCTTTAAAGGGGACGATGGTTAGAAACTAGAGGCTCAAGAGGAAAGGTTGTGGCATGGGATTGAAAGGAAACTATGTGGGAACCACGATTTTATACAAAAAAGGTTGCTAATAAGGGGTTACTTCTGTTTTTGTGTGTTGTCCTATGGATCCTGTGCACTCTATTGTCTAAGTTAATTGATTTAAACTTGGTTGGTTATGATACATTTAAAAAAAAGAACTTCCTTAACTGAAGGACAGCACTTTGTTTATTCATTCAACAAATATTTACTACTGAATACCAAGTAAAATGTCAGGCATTTGGCTGGTCTCAGCGATGAGAGGTCCCTTTAAGGAACAGAAATTCCAGCATGCATGTAAACAGGAACTAGAACGGGTCTGGGTCTGTCTGGATGGCTGAAGTGTGGACTCACTGTAGTAAGTCTTCCCTGAAGCAGGACGGAAAAGGGGGCAGGGCTCTGAGAGAGATGCCTGGAGCGGACAGCCTCTGAGAGGCCATCACTGTCCCGGGAGCCTCCCTGCGGACAGATCAGCACAACTTGAGACAGAAGCCAGGGGCTCAGAGTTACGGTGACCAAGCAGGAAATAGGGTGAGCAGGGCCCAGCACCTTTGCCACACGGGCACACATCTGTTGGGCTGGATGCTGGCATTTTCATGAAAAGCAAACAGAGCTCTAGAGGAAAGGTCTAGAGGGCTAGTCCAAATGTGAGCAAAGACATTTGCAGCTTGACAGCATACAGGGACACTTAGTATGGGTTTCAGCATTTGGAATGACACCGGGAGGCGGGGGCTGGGGCAGCAGCCTCTGTCCTGTGCTTGGGTCCTGGGAGGAGAACGTCAGCAGACTCTGCTCGAGCGCAGCCCATGGGACCACCCGGAGCGTGCTGTGTGTGTGTTGTGGGGGGGCAGGAGCGCAGGGGGATTGGACTCAGGATCGTTCTTACCTGGTGTTGTTTTTCAGCTTGTAGTAGTAGTTTAAGCAGTCACTGCAGTGGTCTGGTCCTGGCCCGTCACAGCCGACCTCACTGCACTCAGGGTCACAGGGACCTTTTCCAAAAAAAAAAAAAAAATTAAAACAATACTTGGGAAAATATGATTTTAAAGCAGGTCTGTTTTACCTTGAATTTTTCCTCCCTCATGCAGGGAGAGTTTCTTTAAGGTGGAGGAATAATGTGTAACATGGCTCTAAGCACGGAGATGAACTCCTATTACCGAAGTATCAAGAATGTAAATCCAGCCGTGGCCTGGTCTTCAAAAAAGCACATATGGCTGCCTTGTGGGAGATAACACATATCTCCGAATTCAAAGGATGCCACTATGGCAACTGGAAGAGAACTGACGGCAATTAAATATGCGTAATGATAAAAATGTCGGATTTACAGAAAAATGACAAGTTAAGCTGTTGACAGAAAAAAGAAAAAAGTTGATTATTCCACGCCTGGACCAGATTGGCTGGCTTGCCGACGGTCATTAAAACCACGGAATACCTCTGAGATGCTGTACCCAGCAAGAAACATCATTATGGCATCTGGGGCAAGCTTATCAGTATCTGGTCTTGGATTACAAAGCAGGTACCTAAGGCATAGATAATAGATTTTTTTTTAAATGAAATTAAATTTGTTAGTCACCATACAATACATCATTAGTTTTTTGATGTACTGATCCACGTGGTAGGACACAATTTTAAAATCTATTATCTGTGGATCGCTACAGATAATAGATTTTAAAATTGTGTCCTACCCACAGGCCAGTGGGCAACTCAATGAGACATAAATTTTTAAAAATGCAAGCAAGCTTAAAGAATTCCACACCTAGGATGAAAGTTGCTAATCTCTCATGACCTATTCTTTGGTCTAGAGTAAGAATGCACAGACAGGAAGAAAAAATGCCAGAAAGATGGGAGATTTTTATAACTGATAAAAAGCTTTCTAATGACATGGGCTAGACCTTTTACTTGCTTGAACTAACTCCTTTTTTCCTTGTTCTCCATACGTTAGGACATTTGGTCTTGTAATCTTCAAGCCCTTTCCTGTTGAAAATACACATGATTTTAAGTAGTAATAAACATGCACAGAATGTACAAACATTAAATGTTATGTCAGAAATGTCTGAACCATACTGATTGTACTGTTGAACCTTGATCTCCTTTAGTCATTATAGGATTCTGTTCTACAGGTACTGAGTCGGAATATAAAATGGTAGAACCTGGGAGGAATGACTTAGAGAAAAATCTAGTGTTCAAACACCCTCATTTACCTGGTGAGAAAACATACTTTCCAAGAATTAGAGTGGCTTGTCCAGATAATACAGCCCAGGAGCCCTGGGATCAACATGGGTCCCCCTTCTTACTCCAGCTCTCCTACATCGAAGTAGTAAATCAGGTACTAGTGATGACCTTTCAAAATGAATGCAGACTTGAGATCTATTTCTGATTAATCACAAGAGTCATCTGACAGCACTGTTTATCTCTTTGTTCCCCCAAGCCTTAAAACTGATCTCTAAATTGCACAGCGAGTATAACTTGGGACCTTTCAGCTCTCTGCTACGACAGAGAAGGAGAGGGTGTCTCTGTACGTAAGGGCTGGAGCTCAGCCAGCTGTGGGTCCTACAGCCCCTGGAATTTGATGAAACAGTACTAGGGATCTGTTTATGATAATACCATCTGTGCCTTTAGCCAGGCTGACTTCTTCATGAAGGTGAAAATCACAGCTCTGAAGAAAAGGAATCATGGGTGGCCCTAAATTTTCACCAGATGATTTCTGCAATTATCCCACCCACAAAATTATGCTTTATATGTGCCCAAGGGCTCCGTATGGCCAGTTCACATGCTGTGCTGTATCTTAACCTGTCCCAGATGCAGTTTAGCATTTTAGGTTGCAGGGTAATAATGAAATAATTGTCTTTGTTCTCTCTCAAGTGCCAATGTGGACATTTTGGAGATGTTAACGAGAAAAACCAGAGAGATAGAGAACCGTTTGTTCAGAATTTTAAGATTACCAGAATGTGAATTAGAAACCTACCAGAAGGCATATGGCAACAGGTTATTAAGCTCAGTTTATGTTTTTGGATATCCTTTCTCCTATCAGAGAAGATGAAACGGTTTGCTTGTTATACTGTGAATAGTAATGTTACAAGCTCAAAACAAAATCTAATACAATCGAGCTCCAGTTAGCTCAACTGGTTTGAATTATTCCAGCTTAGGATGTATTCTGCTAAGGTGACTAATGAAGTACTTTTAGCTCATTAAGTGGTAGTCAATGCAACAAGACATGTACTACATGGAGCACTGGGTGTTATACAAAAACAAAGAATTGTGGATCACTACATCAAAAACTAATGACATGGGGCGCCTGGGTGGCTCAGTTGGTTAAGCGACTGCCTTCGGCTCAGGTCATGATCCTGGAGTCCCGGGATCGAGTCCCGCATCGGGCTCTCTGCTCGGCAGGGAGTCTGCTTCTCCCTCTGACGCTCCTCCCTCTCATGCTCTCTGTCTCTCATTCTCTCTCTCAAAAAACAAACAAACAAACAAAAAAAACTAATGATGTACTGTATGGTGACTAACATAATAAAATTAAAATCAGAGGGGTGTTTGGGTGGCTCAGTCAGTTAAGTGTTGGCCTTTGGCTGAGGTCATGATCTCATGGGTCCTGGGACCAAGCCCCATGTGGGGCTCCCTGTTCTCCCTCTCTCAAATACATAAAATCTTAAAAAAAAAAAAAATCAGAAATATACTTTGATATGGCTATAAGACCTAAACTACCCCAGAAAAGAAAGTTGAGCAGAATGGCCTGATAAAAGATAAATATGCAACAGCCAATAGATTTCCTAGATACCAGCAGATACTAGTTAGAAAATATGACATCTTTTCCATTATATAGCAACAAGACCCCAAAACACATAGGAATAACACTAAGAAGAAGACTACAACCTAAAATTAAAAGATTTCAGTAAAATGGGACATAGTCTATGTTTTGGATGGAAAGACTGCACGCATTTTATAACAGCAATTCTTACCTAAACAATTCTTCCCATGAGATTGGCATGTAAATTCACATTAAATTCCAATGGGATCTTTAACAGAGAGTAAAATATAGTGTGGGTGTTACCGGATTAAGAATTATTAAAAAATGAGCAAAGGGGGTACCAGAAGAGACCCTGGTGTAAAAATTTATTCTATTGTTATAAAGGAAAGATCCTGGGGCACCTGGGTGACTCAGTTGGTTAAGCATCTTCTCAGGGTCCTGGAATCGAGCCTGGCATCTCCCTCTCCAATAAATATTTAAAAATGAAGGGAAGATCCTAAACTAGTAAAAGAGAAAATGACCCAGCCAATAATGTTAGTCTATTTATTTTATCTCCTACTATATATAATAAGCCAAAATAAGTTCCAGATGAATGGCCAAATGTAAAAAGCAGAGATTAGAAAAAAAGGCATGTGGATATTTAGTTGATTTTGAAGACTAAACTTCTTAAAAACACACACACACACAAGCGAGATCTGAAACTATAAACCCTGCCCTCCAATTTTCTTTTTCCATCAAAACAACAAAACACAAAACAAAAACTACATTTTGGAAGCAAGCAATAACTGAGGAAATGGTTTCAGCAAATACAGTAGTTCTTCCTCCCACTTATCTGCGGGGGATACTTTCCAAGCCCCGCAGTGGATGCTTGAAACCATGGACAGTACCAAACCCTATAGATACTATGTCTTTTTCCTATACATACATACCTGTGATAACATTTAATTTTTAAATGAGGCACAGTGAGAAACTAATAACATAGAACAATTATATCAATATACTATGATAAAAAGATGTGAATATATGGGAATGTGGTCTCTCAAATCTTATGGTATTTATCTGTCTTCTTGTGACAGTGTGAGATGCTAGAATGCCTACAGGACGAGATGAAGTCAGGGGAATGACGTGGGCATGGTAACGTAGCATTAAGCTACTACTGACCTGATGATCTAGCAGATGGAAGGTCATCTGCTTCCTGACCGTTAATAACGGGATACTACTTAGTAGTAGTAGTATTACTACTAGGAAACCACAGATAAGGGGGGAACTACTGTATGGAAAAATGTGAGAGACAATAACATACAAAGAGCTCTTATAAGAAAATTGGTGTCAATTTGAATAGAAAAATGGGTAAAATACAATTATGTTTAATTCCTAGAACTACAGAGGAAAAAATGATTTACTAATAAAGCTATAAAAATTTTAAAATGTTCTGTTCTTTAACTTTTTTCTTTCCATTCAATTTTGGCAGGAATGAGTACAAAAAACGCACAGCTGGTCACAGCATAGACTGGTACATCTTGTCTGGAAAGGAATGTGACAAAGTGTGTCCAAGCTCTCAAACTGATGATCCCTTTGCTGCAGTAATTCTCAGAACTCCATTTTAGGGAAATAATTAAAGATATAAACAAAGACTGATAAAATGATGATGTTCATCCAAACCTTATTTAAAATAGTGTAAAATTCCAAGCAAACTACACATCCCAGATTATGTATTAAATGTAGTACAATCATAGGATGGACTGTCATGCTGTCTTTTAAATATCGTTGTGAGGATATGTGACAACAGGGAAATATGCTCTTAATAACCACAAGAGAAAGAAAAAGGATATGGAAACTCTATATAGTGTGCTTTTGGCTTTGAAGAAAACAGGGCTATCTGAATATACACATGCAAATATTTGGGGGGATAGAAAAGATGGAAGAAACTATATCAGAATATTGGTAGAAGTTGATCTCTGCATGGTGGGGTGATGCACGAACGTTCTCTCCTTAGCCTGTGTCCCTGTTGGAAACCATCTTACCTGCATAATCCTCGGTACCATAGTCATCGGTGGGGTCTTCTACTCGGCTATAGCGGACACGTTCTACTTTAGGAAACTCATTGGTTGGTGAGTACGGCTGCACGGAGGTGCCATAGAGGACCAAAGACCATTCTTTCAATTTCCCTTGAAAAATAATGAAATGATAGCATGACTACACATTCACTTTTGAGCTTTACAATTTAATTCCTTCTCATTAAGAAAAAGCAACAGAAGAATTGTGGCAAGCATATTCATATGAATCAGCATGAGGTGCCTAGCTAGAAACGTACATTTTCCACCAGTTGAAGAATTAACTAATAATTGACATATCACATATTTACTGAGCACCAACTATAGGATAAGCCTTAATCAGCTTTTATAAGAAGACTGAGAAATGAACACCTCTCAGATAGCTGGACCAAGGGCTGAATTTCAAATTATGGATCTTTTAAAAGAGAACCCCAGAATTTTACAGAGGCCTTTGCTTTTCTACATATAAATACCGTATTTGAATTTTTTTAAAAAATTTGGTGTTATCTGACTTGTTTATCAGTAAGACAAAACAACTACTTTGTTCCACCTAACTGAATTAGTCATTTAGTCTTAAGAATACATCACTATTTATACTATGCTATAGACCTGAGCTGTCCAGTGATAGTCCCTAGATATTTGGCTATTTAAAATTTAGTTCCTCAGTCATACCACATTTCAAGTGCTCAATAGCCATATGTGGCCAGTGGTCACTACAATGGATACCACAAATATAGAGTGTTTCTACCACGGCAGAATGTTCGAGTGGACAGTGCTGCAATAAAGCTTTGTCTGGTCAAGAGTGCCTTGAGTGAGACAGGAGCCACGTGTTTTAACTCCTTTGCAGAGAAGGTTCTCAAAGAACATTTTGCTTTAGTCCTTATTTCTTTTTGTGTTAATAAAGCTAAGAAAAACTTCTTACAGGTCCCTAAGCTTAATAAGATTCACATAAAGAATCAACCATAAGCAGAAGTGATTAAGACAAAACCATTAAAAACATGGAAGTATGCTGGCAGGAAGCAGAACCTTCCTGAAGGTCCCTCCTCCACTTAGCCGAATTCAGAGAATCCAGGCATGGTTGGGGCCAGGGTTCTGTCACAGCCCTGAGAGTGGTGAACTTGAGGTGTCAGCTGATCTATTAAGTTTGAATCCATTCAATGTTCACAACAATTGGGAGATAGGCACTTGAATTCCCAAAATATAGATGAGGAAAAAGGCATAGAGGGTAATAATTTTCTCAAAGGCACTAAGAGTACAGACTGCTATTAAAACCCATCTGGGGGTTCCAGTTTAAGATGACGGTGTAGGAAGATCCTGAACCCACCTCTTCCTACAGGTACATAGGGGACAAGTTCCTCTGAACAAGAAAACAAAACAATAGGCTGAGTGGCTCCTACGCAATAGGCAAACAAAAAACCCACAGGAAAGCAGGTAAAAGAGGCCGAGACACAATATTGCAATAAACCCCACCCCTGGCACTGTGACCCACAATCAGGACTCACGACCCCAAAGTTTCTCCCCAAGAAGCAAAAGGTTTGAACCCCATATTGGGCACCACAATTTTTAAGACCTGCGCCTGAGATGAGTCCCCGAAACATCTAGCTTTGAAAACGAATAGGGCCTGAGACCCACAAGGCTATAGTGAACTAAAGAGCTTGCATGTGTGGACCCACCCACTCCGAGGCTCAGGGCAGAGGCAGCCAATTGAAAAGCATGGACTTTCTGTGAAAGAGGCTTATTTGCTTACCGTAACATACAGCTAGGGGCCTACTGAAATACTCTCCAGTGGGCACCATCTTTGCTCTCTCCCTCAGTCTTGCTCCAACTCACTAGTATCTCCCAGAAGGAACCTGTTCTCTTATCTGGGACCCCAATTTTTATGGCTGCCTCTCAGGGCACACCTCTTGGTTGTTGGCACTGGTGGCTGGCAGGGCTTATGTTTCCTGGTAACACAGGACTGTAACAAAATTGACAGATCTATACTTAAGCTCACCTAGGAGAGAGAATCAAAATCAGAAATGAAAGAAGAAGGGGGCAGCTGGGTGGCTCAGTCGCTTAAGCATCTGGCTCTTGATTTCAGCTCAGGTCATGATCTCAGGGTGGTGAGATCGAGCCCCACTTTGGGCTTCATGCTGAGCATGGAGCTTAAGATTCTCTCCCTCTGTCCCACCCCCAGCTCATACACACTCTCTCTCTCAAAAAAAAAAAAAAAAGAGGTTATAACTAAAATAAGAATAAAAACCATGAAAATAGGGGCGCCTGGGTGGCTCAGTTGTTAAGCGTCTGCCTTCGGCTCAGTTCATGATCCCAGGGTCCTGGGATCAAGCCCCGCATCGGGCTCCCTGCTCAGCGGGAAGTCTGTGTCTCCCTCTCCTACTCTCCCTGCTTGTGTTCCCTCTCTCACTGTGTCCCTCTGTCAAATAAATAAAATCTTAAAAAAAAACAACTATGAAAATATAAAGTATTATAAAAGACTATCATCAATTACACACCAACAAAATGAACAACCTGGAAGAAAATGGATAAATTTTTAGACCTATACAACCCACTAAGACTGAATCATTAAGAAACAGAAAATCTGAAAAGAACAATTACTAGTAAAGAGATGGAATCAGTAATAAAAAAAAGAAAACCCTCGACAAAGAAATGACCAGAACTATATCTTCTCTGGTCAATTCTACCAAATATTTAAAGGAATACCAGTCCTTCTTAAACTCTTCCAAAATATAGAAGAAACATTTCCAAACTCATTTTATGAGGCTAGCTAGCATTACCCTGATCCCAAAACCAGATAAGGATGCCACAAGAAAATCCCTGATGAACACAGATGCAAAAGTCCTCAACAAAAAAATTAGCAAACTGAATTCAACAATATTAAAGGGATCATATATCATCAAGTGAGATTTATTCCAGGGATGCAAGAATGTTTCAACATTCACAAACCAATCAGTGTGATTCACAACATTAAGAAAATTAAGGATAAAAAACATATGATCACCTCAACACATACAGAAAAAGTATTAACCTACTTCAACATCTATGATAAAAGCTTTTATCGAAGTGTGTATGGGGGAATAATAAGCATCATAAAGATCAGGAACAAGACACTCACCACTTTTAAGAGTCTCATGCTCTACCGACTGAGCTAGCCGGGCGCCTGGACACTCACCACTTTTAGTCAACATAGTATTAGAAGTCCTAGCCAGAATAATTAGACAAGAAAAAGAAAGGGCATTCAAATTAGGAAGAAGTATGTCACTATTTGCACATGACATGGTACTGTGTATGAAAAACCACAGAGGTGCCACCAAAAACTGTTAGAACTAATCAACAAATTCACAAAGGCTGTAGGATACAAAATCTTTTGCATGTCTATACACTAATAATGAACTATCAAAAAGAGAAAGGAAATCTTATTTATAATTGCATCAAAAAGAATAAAATGCTTAGGAATTTAACCAAGGGGGTAAAAGACCTGTACACTGAAAATTATAACACACATGATGAAAAAACTGAAAACACAAATAAATGGAAAGATATTCTGTGCTCATGGATGAGAAGAATATTGTTAAAATGTCCATGCTACCCAAAGCCACCTATAGATTCAATGTAATCCCTATCAAAATTCCAATGTCATTTTTTGTATAAATAGTACAAACAATCCTAAAATTTTTATGAAACCACAAAAGGCCAAATCACTCTTGAGAAAGAAAAATGAAGCTGGAGGCATCATGCTTTCTGATTTTCAAATATAAAGCTATGGTAATCAAAACACTATGGCTTTGCCATAAAACAGACACAAAGATCAATAGAACAGAATAGCACACAGATATAAACTCATGCATATATGGTCAATTAAGAATACACAATGGGGAAAGGATTTTAATAAATGATGTTGGGAAAACCGGACAGCCACGTGCAAAATAATGAAACTGAACCACTCTTACATCAGACACAAAAACTAACTCAAAATGGAGGCACCTGGATGGCTCAGTCAGTTAAGCATCTGCTTTTGGCTCAGGTCATGATCCCAGGGCCCTGCTCAGCATGGAGTCTGTTTGTCTCTCTCCCTCTGCTCCTCCCTCCCACTCATGCTCACTCTCTCTTTCTCTCAAATAAAATCTTTAAAAAAAAAAAAGAAAGAAAGAAACTCTAAATGGATTAATGATTTGAACATAAGACCTGAAACCATAAAACTCCTAGAAGAAAACATAGGTGGTAAGCTCTTTGCCATCGGTCTTGGTGATAATTTTTTCAGATTTGACCAAATGCAAAGGCAACAAAAGGAAAATAAGTCAGAGCATATCAAACTAAAAAGCTCCGTACAGCGATGGAAACCATCAACAAGATGGAAAAGCAACCAACCTACTGAATGGGAGAGAATATGTGCAAATCATATATCTCATAAGAGGTTAATATCCAAAACATATAAAGAACTCCTACAACTCAATATCAGAAAAATAATCTGATTAAAACATGGGTAGGGAATATGAATAGACATTTTTCCAAAAATGACATATATGTGGCCAAGAGGTATGTGAAAAGGTGGTCAACATCACCAATTAGGGAAATGCAAATCAAACCGCAATCTCACCTTACACCTATTAGAACAGCTATTACCAAAAAGACAAGAAATAGCAAGTGTTAGTGGAGATGTGGAGCAAAGGAAACCCTTGTGCACTCGCAGTGGGAATGTGAATCAGTGCAGCTGTGATGGAAACTGCTATGGAGGTTTTTCAAAACATTAACAATAGAACCACCATGTGATTCAGCTATTCCACTTCTGGGTATTTATCTGAAGAAAATGAAAGCATTGACTTGTAAAAGTATATGTATTCCCATGTTCAATGCAGCATTATTCACAATAGCCAAGATATGGAAACAACCTATGTGTCCATTGATGGATAAATAATAAAAATGTGGTATTTTGGGGGCGCCTGGGTGGCTCAGTTGGTTAAGCGACTGCCTTCGGCTCAGGTCATGATCCTGGAGTCCCGGGATCGAGTCCCGCATCGGGCTCCCTGCTCGGCAGGGAGTCTGCTTCTCCCTCTCCCGCT